CTACAACCGCCATACGCACCCTAACTGTACCATTTGATATACGCTTCTCATCTGCCAAGGGGACAAACTCTCCGAGCGATCATGTTTTAAAATGATGATCATGAAAGGTTCTCAAGCTGGGAAGGTGCAGCTAGTCCCTTGAATGACTTCCTGTCCATGCCCTGCCAGGGTTAGTGCTGTTGAATCGACTCCAGGTGACTATCTGATCAACCAGCTTGATTATTCCATTCATCGATCCAGATCCTGTAAAGTTACTAAAGCCTATTTAAATACATGTTAGATGGAGGACAATAACCAATTCTACCTCTGACATGATGTGAGTAGAGTACAAAGTCAGCCAACAATTTCTGACCCTCAAAGTAAACGGTACATGTCCCTTGAAAAAATGTACTCAAGTAAAGTACTGTACCATCTTACTTTAGTTAAATGCACACTGCAGCACCAATGCAACAAGACTTTCTTTTAACAAGTGTTTTAAAGACCAATGCGTAATGCCTAATTGGACCAAACCAAAGTGATGAAAGCCTATCCTGTAATTACTCTCAGCTTAATGGCCATTTGTTCCCCAGTTAAAAACCGTACCTCGCCAGCACCCTACAACAGTGGGCACACAGATAACGTTAATTATGAGAGTATATTCTTAGTTAAGTTTACGCCTGTCCAGTTGTTTGGGTGGTGGTGGGTCTTATGATGCTTTTGTTTCCTGCGCTGATCTATGAGCAGCCTTTGCCAGGTATCGTGGAGAATAAGGCGTATGATAAGGACCTGCTGACCCTCACTCCCTTGCTACCTGGGATTCTGGGTGAGCAGCCACCTGCAGTGCACCTGATGTCCAGAGTACCTGTTCCATCTAAAAGGATAGAACTACATCTTATCCATTACAAGCAAAATAGATTGAACTTTATGATTATAAGCAAATTCATCGTCAGAAATGTGATCCTTACTCTTTTTTTCTCCACAATGTTATAATGTCCCCGATTGTTGGTGTCTTTGCAGTCCCCACACTGTTATGAATGCTGTGCCCTCAAATCTAGGAGGTGAAATGTTGTTTGCAAGTCATTCCTACTACACAATCACCGTCAGACGGATAATGACAGCTAGTCAAAGTCAATTTAGCCCTTAGTGCTACTGAATGTACACCCATGATCAAATGATCATATCTGAAAAACAAAGAAGGCATCTGTTGCACGTCTGTCGATGCCTGGGCGGTTCCCCATCCTCTGGTTCCAAAAACTGTTCCCTGTAATCGTGGGTTTTCCTTTTTTGGGAAACGAAAGGGTCCCATGAAACAAATCCTGTAATTGTGTAAGTGCAGGCTGTATAATCACCTTTTGAAATGAGATGTGTTACTAGAAAGCAACGACCATCAGTGTGGGACTACAGTCAAATAAGGAAAATAAACACAGGTCAAATTGAAACTGAAAGCAGTCAGAGTCTCTACAAAAGGTGCATATTAGTCAACCCAATGTTTATTGCATCAAAGACATATCTAGTCCTTAGCCTCACCAATATGGTTTAATCAAGATGCTGAGGGAGTTATTGGGAGTTTCCTTCAGGCCTCTGGTACTTTAGAGTAGGCAAAGAGAAGACTCAGGTAATCAGGCGGGGCTGACACCAGAGCATCCCCCCTCCCCCTCTGAATGACAAAGACTAGTATCATTATTTTAGTATTAATGCGAAGTTGTTCCAACTAATTCCTCTTAATTACGAATCACGTAATACAATTCAAGGTATTTAATATTTTTAAATAGAAACGTTGCTTAAGGCCAGGGCCAGGCCCACCTTTTATTTAACAGCACCTCTTCAACAGCAAGCAATCAAAGTGCTTACTCAACAGGAAAAACATTAAGAAAGCATTTAGAAATAGATGCAGCGAAACACCCATTATATCGATGGCATATTTAAAAACAGGCATTTAAAAGCAAAGAGAATAAACATACACCACCTAAACAAGCTAATAACATAAACATGATACAAGTCAGGCATCTGAGATTGGAATAGTTCTCTTTAAAAGAATAAGCCTTCAGCCTGGATTCAAAAGTAACAAGGTTGCGCCGGACCTGCAGGTTTCTGGGGGTTTGTTCCAGAATGTATTCGAGCAAACAACGAACCTGCTTTCTAGGATGGTATGGCGCTAAGGTTTTAACGCTACCTACCTACACTGCTTCGTCGATACCGCATGTATCCCGTCCCCGGTCTTTTAACGGTGACTGCTTATCGGCCTTTGGGGAGAAAAATAAAGGTAAACTAACTAAACAAATGTGAACCAAACTTAATATTGCTTAGTTAATTAAATACATAAATTTCACAATCGAAAAGGAAACCACCATGTTTTAACAATCGTATTAAAATAATCGGATGAAGGAACTTTGTAAAACCGAATGCGAAACTTTAAACAAAATGAATACTCACGTACCTCCCTTAATCATTAACCCATGTTTATAATAATTGAGTTACTCCGTGTGCTCGCTGCTAAGCATACATAATCCTCCTGAACGTGGAAACGTTTACACGTGGATGGGTACAGGCTACTAACAAAAGGACAGTTCGAACCCGGTGCTTTCCTCCGTCTGAATGTGTGCACTTTTGCTAAACTGTTTAGACCAGAAATTGCTCCGGTAGCCCTGCTACAGGCTAAACTCTTATTGGCACTCTTTGAGTAACGAGCCATTGTTCCCACAATCGAGACGGGTAAAAGTTTACCACCTCGGAGCGCGTTCCTCGGCCCACCTCTCCGTTGGTGGTGTGTGCCTGCCGATGTAGCAGCTGCATGTGCTGAAACTGCCCCGGCTCGCCAAGCGCGGGAGAGATCGCAAATACAAATACTCATGGACGCCATTTGGCCCCAGTCTTTTTAATGTACGTATTAGAAAGGGGTTGGCGACAACTAAACTTGCAATACAATGTATGTAGCAATAAGTACATATGCCATATTTTCTTACATCTCTTCGTGCCTACCGTAAAAAGCACCGGATAGGCGTCGGAGCTTAACGGTCACCACGGGTCCTTTAATAATTCAGATCCCCGGGGCCCGTCTAATACCGGGACTCGGTACCCCTCCCTACTGCTTCCCGGGGACAGCAAAGTAGGCTCGTCCCAGAAGCCTGGGATTCTGGATGTTCATCATTTTACAGGAAGATCAGAATGTATTTGGCCCTAACGAATCCAAAGCTTATAAACCAGCAGCATATTTTGAAATCGTTCTTTGACAGACAGGAAGCCGTGTAAAGCTCAGCAACTGGACTGATCCACTTTCCTAGTGTTAGGGAGGACAATGTAAGACCTCAGCACGGAACTGATCCCACTTTCCTAGTGTCCCCAGTGAGGAACCAGTGGTAGACCTTCAGAACTGGACTGACCCTTCATCTTAGTGGCAGTGAGGAAACCAGTGTAAAGACCTCCAGAACTGGACTAATCCAACGTTCTTACGTGTGTGAGGAACAGTGAAAGACTTCAGAACTGGACTGTCCACTTTATTGGTTGGGGGAGGAACCAGTGTAAAAGACGTCAGAACCTGGGACTGGTCCACTTTCTTAGTGTCAGTGAGGACCAGTGGTAAAGACCCTCAGAACTGGACTGATCCCACTTTCTTAAAAAAGTGGGGTGGGTGAGGACCGAGTGTAAAGACTTCAGAACGGACTGATCCACCTTTCTTAGTGTCCATGAGAACCAGTGTAAAGGACCTCAGAAACTGGACAACTCCAACTTCCTAATGTCAGTGAGGAAACCAGTGGTAAGATGACTCAGACTGGACTCGATCCACTTTCTTAGGATTGGTGGGGAACCAGTCGTAATATACCTTCCAGAACTTAAATACCTCCAGAACTGGAACTGAATCCCTTCCTTAGTGTCAGTGGAGGAACCAGTGGTAAGACCTCAGAACTGGACTGCTCCACTTTCTATGATCAACGTGAAGGAACCCAGTGGTAAAGACCCAGACACTGGACTGATCCACTTTCTTAGTGTTAGTGAGGAACCAGTGTAAAGACTTCAGAACTGGACTGATCCACTTTCTTAGTGTCAGTGAGGAACCAGTGTAAAGACTTCAGAACTGGACTGATCCACTTTCTTAGTGTTAGTGAGGACTCGAGCAGCAGCGTTCTGAATTAGCTGCAGCTTTCTAATAGATTTTTTAGTGAGACCTGTGAAGACACCATTACAGTAGTCCAGTCTACTGAAGATAAAAGCATGGACAAGTTTTTCCAAATCCTGCTGTGACATTAGTCTTTTAGTCCTAGATATATTCTTAGGGTGACAGTAGGCTGATTTAGTAACTGCTCAGAAACAATTATGCTGCATGGTTGTGTCATTATGCCTGATCTGTTTGTGCTCCCTATGTTATTGGGGTCCTGAGCCATCAGGAAGCAGAATGAGTTCAAACAACAACTCCAAAAACATTTATATGGAAGGGATGAGTTCACTTTGATTCAGTGGGTCTAAAACACAGAAGGCCCTATATCACAGCTCTCCACCTTGAATATTGTATGTAGTATTTATCATATTTTATTATATTTGACTGTACTCAGTTTCTCAAATTATTATATTTTGTGTAAATATTGTATTTATTTTAAACTTGTTACAATAGTCTTAACATAGTTTTTTTTTAAATAGCTGTTATAACAATCTTATTTTAATTTTGTTTTGTTTTGCTACGTATTATTTCTTGGTTGTCTTTGTATGCACCACATAAACCGAAGCAAATTTACTGAACGCACTCAGGACCTACTCTAAGCTCCAGTGCTTCACAGACTTTTGTCTTGTGACCTATGAATAAAATGAAGTCTTCTTGTGAACAACCAAGGAGAGAAGTTAAACCAAAGAATATGTTTTCCTCTTAGATTAATACCTCTGTAGGATCTTAAAGTAAAATAGAGTAAGGTATCTAGTATTTGCAATAAAGAAGAAAACAATTTGATAGTCTAGTGTTACTAGACTCCTACTGGGACCTTTGTTAAATGTACTTTAAATGATGTGACTGTGGCAGTTCAGTAAGCTAATCTTTTTGTTGTCCTGATTGGTCGGCACTGAGTGGTTCATTCTAGGAGCTGAGTATATGGGAAGAGAGAAGTGATTTATAAAGTTTTCTACCATGTTACATTTGTGTTCAGTTTCAAAGGACTCGTGGTGGATCTGGGGGATGGAAACCTTGTGAAGCTGGCTGAAGATGGAACCGTCTTACGGTATGCTTTTAGTGCATGAAATATATTTAATCCGTCAACCAAATCAACAGATATTAGAAAATAGTTATTTTTTGCTTTTTTAGAGCGACACATGGAACCAATGACCTCAGCACGGAAGACATCATTAAACATTATGGTCCTAAGAGAGAGTGGGGGCATTTCAACAGCCTCAATACTACCTTCACAAGATCCGGTATGATGTTTGTATCCATCTTTATACCTAATAGTTGTATGCTGTTGGCTTTTAAGGATGTCAGTGTTTGAACTACAGTAGACAGCGGTATACACGGCCACTGTTTGGAGAAACAGGCAGACGAGGGGCTGGAGCAAAACACATTTTACCACCTAAAGAGATTCATCCGTTTTAATGTACGCTTTATTTATTATCTTTTCACTGCGTTATCTTGCTTTCAGACAGCCCTTTTTGCAACGGTCAATGAGGCTAGTAATTTGTGCTCTTCAATACTTCAAATCTCTAAGTCTGCTTAAATTCATTATGCTGCTTCCCCTGTCCACAGCAGGACATTGCTTTGCTCACTCCCTGTAGTCCTGTCTGTTTCTCTAAAGTGGGCTGACCGCCATCTACTCTAGGTTATACATTGACTATGAAAAAGTACCAAAAAGCTTCTTAAAGCTTCTGAATTTCCCTTTTCTTCACATCACCTGTCACTAGTTTTCATAGACTTTTTCTTTGGTCTTTGCAGCAAAATACTATTTCTATGACAACTATTTTGACCTGCCAGGGGCTCTCCTCTGCGGAAGAGTTGTGGACATGTTGCATAAGGTAATATCTCATAATTTATGGTTTCAAATGAATGCTTGAGATTTTCATGTGGAAAAACAATTAAATTGTTAATTCATGTTTTTGTGAACAGCGAGGAAACGAGGTGAATTCCGACTTTTGGAAAGACATGGTTGCTGCCATCGACCACAATTATAAAACATCTGCCTTCAAAGGTATGTCTTTTATGCCAAACATCAGACAATATCATTTGTTGCCTATTTCTAATGGCTTAACAAGGACCCATACTGTAAATAAGAAAAAACAACTTACACAATACTTTCTTTTTCAAACTAGAAGTTTTATTCTGTGTTTTGGTCAACAAGTGGTACATAACTTAACACATCCAATGGGACATTATTGCTTTGAAAAAAAATGCAGTTTGAGATTCTCATGCTGTGTTGGTTTGCTGGTCACAGTGCTTGTGAGAATGTGCTGATCTCGAATAACATTTAATACAACAGTTTTGCATGTCTAGTATTTGTATATTACAGAAAAAGTCTTAAACATCAGACATTAATAAAAACAAATACAAATAAAAGACGTGCTGTAAATGCTACAGGCAGTTGTAAAGCAACACTTAACATATCTTCCAATATTGTTTCATGTTTCTAAAAATGGCAAAGGCACACACATGGTTAACTTGGGAAAAGGGATCATTTTTAACCATCCTTTTAAAGATTTTACTCCAGGTCTGTCAATTGATAAATTATTTTGCAAATTAAAGTATTTTTTTGTAAAGATCTTTATGAGGCAGTGAAACTTGAAAATTAGCACCATATATATTTTTTAAAACTACATTTGTGATTTTATATACTGATCTGTTGCTCGAGTTGTTAATGTTTTGAAAGGTTTTGAGATGTATTTGAATTAATGAAATCACGTGGAGGCAATCAAGAACCCAGAGAAAGAGCAGTGAACATTATCCGCTGCAAATATGCCATTACTCTCCTCATCAGGGACCTGAACATAGACTCTGTCACCACCATGCAGCATTAGAACAGTACTGCCTGACATCTGATCCAGGAAACCTTTGTTGTACTCATCATAGCTGAAAATAACTGGCTCCTCGTTTTTGTAGAGGGCCACCAATGCATTAGCACCATTGACATGCATATGATAGCTGAAATAGTAGAGGCCGGGGACCTGGCAGGTAAACACACCACTGTGCTGGTCATAATGGTTCTCCCCATTGTAAACAATCTGATCGAACTGAATAGGGGTTGCAGCTGGGGGGTAGGCTCTGGTCAGCACAGCACTGAAAGCGGACATTGGGGCCTTCATCATCTCATGGGACATCACAACCTCATGGGACTTGATTGGCATGCTCTTCTCATGGTGGTACATCATCTCTCCTGGTGGGCCAGGTGGACCAGGAGGACCGCCTGGGCCTGGATGACCATCTTGACCTCTGGCACCTGGAATTCCAGATGGACCCTGAGGACCAGAAATTCCCTTAGCTGTCATGCCAGCTGGGCCAGGTGGGCCTGGAAGGCCAGAATGACCCTTAAGTCCAGGAAGACCTGACGGACCGCTGGGCCCAACTGGTCCATTGGATCCTGGTCTTCCATTATCACCACTTTTTCCTGGTCCTCCTGCAGGTCCTGTGTGTCCTTTTGGTCCTGGGGCACCATTTGAGCCTGGGACTCCTGGTGCACCTCCATGGCCTTGTGCACCCTTTGGACCCTGAAGACCATTATGCCCTGGAAGTCCTGCAGGACCTACTGCACCTGGGGAACCTGGTTTACCAGTGAAACCCTGAGCTCCCTGTTCACCCTTGGTTCCTCTTGGGCCTGGTGCGCCAACCATACCAATGTCGCCCTTAGGCCCTGCTGGGCCTCCCTCACCCTGGAATCCTCTTGAACCTTGTGGACCAGCTGGGCCCATTTGACCAGGAGCACCTGGCTGACCAGTAAAACCAGTTGGGCCTGGCTCTCCTTTCTGTCCAGTGGTTCCGGATGTACCGGGGGATCCTCTGCTACCTGGTATTCCAGATTCGCCCGTTTTGCCAACACCTGGCATGCCAGGGGATCCTGGCTGACCGGCTGGACCCTGTGGACCTTTAGCACCCATAGGTCCATGCGTACCTGGGGTACCATTCTGGCCTGATTTCCCTGGTGCTCCTATACCTGGAGCCCCAGTATGACCCTTAGGGCCTTGCATACCCATTGGCCCAGAAGTGCCGTCTCTTCCAGGTGTGCCACTCTTGCCAGGTTCTCCAGGATAGCCAGTGGCACCAGGTTTACCAACTCCAGATTTGCCAGGCATTCCAGATGGGCCCATTGGTCCAACCGTGCCTGGTGGTCCTTGGACCCCAGGAACTCCAATGCCTCTCTCTCCTTTGTTGCCAGGAAGACCAGGAATACCAGGATGTCCCTTTAAACCAGACTCTCCTCTCTGTCCCATTGCCCCAGGCATGCCACCTTGTCCAGGTTTTCCAGCAGAAGAAATTCCAGCAGGTCCAGGTGTTCCATGTGGACCAGGTGAACCTCTGGCACCCATTGGTCCAGTTTGGCCAGGTTCACCTTTATGACCGGGGATGCCAGGGGTACCTGGTTTTCCAGAGCCCCCTGGAGCACCAGGTTTACCTGGTTGAGAGTAGCCTTTGGGTCCAGGAGGTCCTGCTGGGCCTTGTGGTCCTGTATATCCTGTACCACTCATCCCAGAAGGTCCAGGTGGTCCCATTGGTCCTGGCTCACCTGGAGGCCCTGAAGGACCTGGCTGGCCTTCAACGGCTAGGGAATACATAAACAAAATATTTTACGTCATTATTTAGGAAATATGATTCACACATCCTGATGTCCCTGTTTTTTTCCTCTTTTGGTTGAATGTTTATAACTAGGTTTACAATGTTGTCTCAATCATGTCCTTTAATGTAAAAAGGATTATTTACGGTATTCCACGTTGCTGTCAGTGAACATAAGTGTGTTTGATCAAGAAGTGCTTGAAGAACCTTCTGCCTTTACTTGTATTACATAAGATGCCATCTTGGTAGTTGAATAACCCTAGGTTTGGTACTCTACTCCATAAGACACTACTCCTTAATATAGTAGGGCAGGTTGTGGGGACAGCGCTCCTTTGTCTCAGGAGAGTCTTCACAACACCACTGGTTCTGTGGGGATGCTCTCACCAAGCTTATGTTTGCTGGCAACACACCAGCTCCTGTGCATTTCAGTTGCATTTGCCCTCACTTTACTGCACCCCTCAATTTCCTACACTACCCATGGCCTTGAACACATAGCTAGTGGTCTGCAAGTTGTCAACATCCGCTTGATGCATTTAGTGTAGTGTTTATGGTTAAGGTCAAATGAGTGCATGTATAAACACCAAGTTGGAGTGTCAGTTTGTTTTACTCGAGAATATTGCTCACTTATCTATGTTCATCACTAAAGTCAACATAACCCTACCCTATAAAACCAATATATGGCAGAAAAGACATCGTTTTTCCTTATTTGACTCAAACAAGGGGACAGTCAGATTGGGAATAAGCCCCTTGTTGTTTTCTCTCCTAATTATTTGTCGGGATTTGATTTGATTTGTGAGGAACTGTTTACAATTTTACGAATTTACGATTCGTAAATGTTGCCATTTGACTTACTGTATTCGTTAGCTTAAAGCTAATTTACATGGGACAAATCTGGCATTAAATGTCTGTTCAATTTCAGTTGGAAGTCAATCTTATGTCCTACATAAACTCTCGACACCCGACTCTAACTTAAAAACAGCATGAACTATGCAAAGCAAAGACCTTTGATAATAAGCTATCAGACTACATTCCTTTCTATGCCATAATTGTGGATGCATCCCTACTAACTTATGATTATTACTCTCAAACCTATGGTGTTGGCCTATCTTTGAAACGGGGTTTTGAGAAAACAATGCTTTTACAGGTCTGTGATTTTCAAACCACATAAGACTGTGCCTGAAACCCCATATGGGTATTTGTGCCAGAAGTGGACTTGTTAGCAGCCAAAAGCACCACACACTGGCCACACTATCTGAACCTGGTCTCTAAAGCACTGCTATGCTTATGTTCAGAGCATTACGTGTTATGCTTCATTTACCTGTCTCTAATAAGCTCCCCTTTATTCCGTGAAGCTCCTGTAAACTGACCGTGTTTTGTTAGATTTACTGTTTGATCTTGCGAAAGTGTTTCTCTGCAGTCTGTGTTTCTTTTTCTTTGTAATTACGTGGCGTGAATTTAATAACACAAAGCATTTTGTCAGGGTGTGCCTACAACGTGGTGACAGCATCTGTTTGTGCGCTTTGTCAAATGTGGGCTCTTATTGTTGACTTTCTATTCTATATTCATTTTCACAGTCAAACCACATCACAACCTCTGTCAAAACCTCTGGAATAAAGGTTAAGGTGTCAAACACATCATTTGAACTACTAGTTCTGGTCTAAAATACAGTGTATACACTATCTTGGTAGTTGATGACACATGCAGATGTGACTTTTCTCCTTTTGAGTCATTAATGATACAGGGCACAAGTGCCCCTTTTACAGCTGTACCCCTACTCACAGCTTGATACAGTTAGAATAATTTACAGCAGTTCAGCCAGTTCAACCACAGCCTTCTGCTCTCAGCCAATCAGAGGGGGGGCTGGACCTTGCTGGGTGTGCACCTTGATGACATTTAATAGAGTTTTAGAAGCCTCATTACCTGATGTGTGTGAGCCAACAGTTTGCCAGGTTGCACAAGAGAAGAGTCAGAGTGTGGGGGATAATGATGATTAGGGAAATGAGTAGAAGCTGCACTCGGTTAAGAAATGTGTCTTGTTGATCAGGTTCTGATGCAGTACGATGCGTTCACATGGCTACCCTGATTTTCAGATCAGTGGTTTAAGGTATTACCCTAATTGGATTTGCCAGTGGATCACAGTGCCTCCTGAGGTCATTCACAGAGGAATGTTGTATTTTCAAAACATTCTGTTATATGAAATTGTAGGCTGTACCTGTATATGTCATATGTGGTGCTGATAGAGTTTCTGCTGAGTTTATTTGTTATGCTTATCATAAGTAGATTATGTTCCTGCTTTATTCACTGAGTTAAATTAACCTTCCGTATTTGCAAACATTTCAGATCAGATACCAGATCTCCTTAACACTAAATGTTCATGATTGCTGATATAGTAAAAGGTTTTAACAACCCTGATGGGAAAAGACATGAGTGACTCACCTTGACTCTTGACGGGATAGGGCCCCTTGTTCACTTTTGGCACATGGTAGTACCTATCAGGGGTCGCCTCAGCCAAAGCTAGGAGGACGAGAAGAACGCTTGTCACCCTCAGGTCCATCTTGGGAAGCTCAACCTGCAAAGACAGAATTCGATAATGAGAAGAAGCATTGTTGCTCTCTTTGTGTTTAATGTCAAACAGCAACCAGGTTACCGTGTAATATAACCTCAGTGTCTCTGCACCTGCTCCTCTGCACTCTGACACTGCAGTGCAGTGGTCATCTAACAGGATGGGGAGATAGCTGCACATATATATCACAATCTTTCATTTCTAAATGTATCCAGATCTTTTTACTCTATCAGTTTTAGGCAGCTGAAGTGAGCAGCCTTTGTGGAAAGCATCCATTTGTAACACTTCTGAATAAGGATGTTCTTTTGTGAAACTTATTGCATCACAAACACAAAATGTCTCCAAGTGAAACCCAGCCATAGCACAGAGCTGATACAGCAGCAGTGACCCTCTATAGTGAGAGCCAGGCTGCAGTTGGGAGTCCCCCATGCACCGAGTACAAATCACCAAAAACACCTTACCGGGTAGGTTAATGCTCCAGAGAAACAGCAGGGGGTCTGGAGGCTGCTGTCCCGGCACTGCGCTGTTATATCCTTAGTTGTGGAGTCGTCTGTCTGAGCGGCAGCTGCTTCTCCCCTCAGCAGCAGGCTCTATGTATTTATACTGAGCGGCTCTGCAGCATCAGGGATGATGTTCCTCACGTGGAGGGCCCTCCCTGCTCTGATGTCATCTTTAATGACGGGTGCCATGTCTGAGAGGGAGGACCGTTACCCTGAAGTGACAGGCCTCTCTCTCCTCCCCGTCTCCCCCTCTCTGTCTGTACGGTGCAATAATAAGGGATTCCTCTCAAATTCACTTTTTTATAATTGAGTTGCTTCCTTTACTTGGTTTAGTGATCAGCATTTAAATGTGTGCCACGCCGATGTTCAGATCTTGAATTTAACATCGTTCATTCATTCATACATACACATTATTCAGAGTTTGCACTTTATGACAGATGAGTCAGGAGTGTTAGTGGCCTTTTTTAGCACGGGTGTACAAACTGTTCATAGCTAAAAACATCATTGTATTATGGACCAAGTCCTTGTGACAGGGTGTTTTTCTGGAAAAGGTAAAGACTGTCGGTCGGACAATATTTACCCCCAGTCCGAAGACTCAAATCTGGGGAGGATGTGGTAGACTGTGTGTAACAAACTTTTTCTGTTCTTTTTTTATTCTATCAAAAATGACTTCCATTCATTAATGCATGCTTGAAAGAAGTGTGATCCCTTTTTTTAAATTTTTTTTAAATATCTTGGTTTGACAGTCACTCCTCCTCACTCATTGAGATGCATTAAGCTCACCATCGGCTTGGTTTGTGTTAATCTAATGTTCACACAGTGAAGCCTGTCATGATGCTGGCAGGTTTTGTTTGTTGATCCTCTATGATTTTTACAAACCGGTGTGTGGTGTGCTGCCGGGCTCCACAGTGCAGCCTACAGACAGCAGGGGGTAGTAGAGAGGTGTTCTGAGTGGCCCCATCCTCTGAAGAGCAGCAGAGGAACCTGGAACAGGCTTTTGTTGTACCTGATGTCTGCATACTGCATACATGGCATCCTCTGATCAGGGGAATTCATAGTGATTATACACTAAGGCAGTAGATCAAGCTGCAATGTCCAATGTAATGTATTAACAGAGGCAGTATGCAGATTCTTTACTTTTGTACAAATACTATGGTCTTAAAATAATCTGAATACCTGAATTGAAAATGTTAATTTCCTAGAATATAATGAGCAAAATATACTTCAAGTATCAAAAGTACAAGTTCTCAGTATGCATAATGGCTATTTTCACATTATTATTATTATAGATTATATTAGCCATTTTTTTTAACAAATACATATCCACAATTACATGTACATGTATAGGACCATTTAAATGTTGAAGATTGTCAATATGGGGATTTACTGTGTAAAATACTACTTATATTTGTAGTACAGTACTGCATCTTGATCATATTTGATGTGTTTTTACATGTAAAAAGTAACTATGAGTGAAATTTGCCTCTAAAAGTGGAGTAGAAGTATATGTAGCATTACATACAATTACTTAAAGAGTTTTTAAGTAAAAAGGTTGTTTTTTTTACTACATTTATGCTTAACCTTGCCTGAAAATTACAATTACAAATGTTAATGCGGGATTTGATATGTTTTACAATACATAAGGGCAGGAATTCAGAGGGAAAGGAGCCGTTTTGAGCTCTGCTACTAAAAACTGCTTTTTTTTAACGTCATACGTCAAACGCGTCATATTACGTCACATGGGGGAGCAACTTTCTCGGACTCCTTCTCTGCCCAATCCACGGTAGTAGTTTGTAGTTGGTTTGAGCGGTTGTGATTTAGTGAGCTGTTATTTTTTCGGTAATTTCACATTGCATTTCACCATTTGTAAATCATGGTGAGCTTGTACGGGTGCAGGTTGCACAAACTCCAGCCTGTATGGACATCGAGTCCACAGTTTCCCTAACAGGAAAAGGACCGGAGCTAGCTTTCGTTCCTGGGTGCGTTGTGCATCCACCTCTCTGCAGCACATACTCTCCACAGCTGAAACCTATCAAACAAAACGTTTATCAGGAAACCGTATTACATCTCTCTCCCCCAGGGGCGGCGCCAGGGGGTAGCTTGGAGTTGCTATAGCTATAGCAACTCCAACAATTGGCCTAGCAACGGCTTAGCAACCCCATTGTTTTGTTATGAAAATGTGTCTATATATATATTTATACACATTCTCGCAAGATCTATCAGGGGTCGTTGTAAGTTAAAGCGCAAACTGTTACTTGGCTAATGTTGTTATAATTCTCAGTATGTGAACACAGATCAAAAATGGAAAGATTTCTCACAAGTCAGCGTAAACGACCGCGATCTCCAACGGAGCCGGTCCAGCCGGACAACCCTGTGTGTGTGTGTGTGTGTGTGTGTGTGTTTGTGTGTTTGTGTGTGTGTGTGTGTGTGTGTCTGTCTGTTTGCAGTGTGGTGATGAGGTTAAATGTCACAGCATGCCAGTTGAAACAGTGAACGATCGCTATTGTGTACTAAAATATTGTAGGAGCACAGAAACAGTGTTCAAATTCTGCTTTTACAAACTTATTTTGGTTGTGCTTACCTAGCAAAGTAATGTATGTTATAAGTGTCAAAGGAATTTTTTTATGTAAATATTAATGATAATATTGTAGCGTGTCCAAGTTAATAGTTATTTCAGTTATCAGATGATGTGCACAGTTTAGTACATTTGTAAAGTTATTTAGAAAATGTTGTTGGTGGGAGTTAGGGAGAGACCGCCCCTTCCAGGTGTGTGTGTGTGCGTTTTCCGGTGTGTGTGGAGGGAGTACAAGACGGTAGGAGTTGTGTTCGAGTGTGCAGAAAAGTCATAATGAGTGTTATACTATTGATTGGTTCTGTAAGGCGTGGCCGTCAATACCAGAAAAAAAGGGGAACGTTTTCGACATTGAAGGCTCGTGTTCTGTGATCTTGAATAGCGGTGAACGCTACAATATGAACAGGCTCGTGCTCGGTCCACTGGTATTGTTTTTTTTAATTTATTTTGAAAATTAACTAGCAACGTCGTGCTGTCATATAGCAACTGCTAAGCTACTGCAGCAAACAAATCCTGGTGCCACCCATGCTCTCCCCCCTCCGCTCCTCTCTCTCTCTCTCCCCTCCGGTACACAGCACCGTAAGACGTAGTGTGGAGTTGCATTAGGTAACGCGAGATACGGCTGATACTTGCGCATTAGTTTATGTTATGGATCAGTATCAAGTCCTGCCAGTAACGTTACTATATTATCAATACTACTTTAGTTATAGCCTGATATATGGTAGCTAACTTTACAATGTTGTGATGTGATATGACGACCTCCTAACCTATCAGGCTCTCCTCTCCTCTTTCTCTGCTTTGATCTCTCAGGCAAAAAGCACTTTCTTTCAAGATAAGATCCAATCTTCCTATTCCAATCCCAAAAAACTATTTTCCATCTTCTCCACCCCCCCAAAGCCCCTTCCCCCTCCTCCCTTCTGTCAAGCGACTTTGTTAACCACTTTGAAAAAAAGGTTGATGATATTCGCTCTTCTTTTTCTGACTCACCTTTACTCACCGCTGGGTCACCAGACCCTCCCTTCACCCACAGACTGACCTCCTTCTCCCCTCCCTCTCCAAGTGAGGTTCTTATCCTCATTACCTCTGCCCGTCCTACCACCTGTCCTCTGGACCCTATCCCTTCAAACTATCGCTCCTTATATTCTACCATTTCTCACCCATTTCATCAACACTTCTCTAACTTCTGGTCACTTTCCAAACAGTCTCAAGGAGGCAAGAGTAAATCCTCTCCTAAAGAAACCCACTCTCAACCCATCTGATGTTATAAACTACAGGCCTGTCTCTCTCCTCCCGTTCCTGTCTAAAACACTTGAACGCGCTGTCTTTAAACAACTCTCCTGTTATCTCCATCAGAACAACCTTCTGGATCCGCACCAGTCTGGTTTCAAGGCAGGTCACTCAACAGAAACTGCCCTCCTTGCTGTCACTGAGGAACTGCACACGGCTAAAGCAGCCTCCCTCTCCTCTGTCATCATCCTTTTGGACCTGTCTGTTGCATTCGACACGGTGAATCATCAAGATCCTTCCTCGCACTCTCCAAGAACTTGGAGCTTTCAGGCTCTGCCACTTTCCCTCCTCACCTCATACCTCAACGACCGCACCTACAGGGTAACCTTGGAGAGGGTCCGAGGTCCGACCCTTGGTCAAATTACACTACAGGGGTCCTCAGGGCTCTGGTTCCTGTGGTCCCCTCCTCTTCTCCTTGTACACGAACTCGCTTGGATCAGTCCATTAAGCCCGCATGGTTTTTTTTCATACCAACTGCTTACGCTGACCGAACACCCAATTAATTCTGTCCTATTCCCCGCTCTGAGACCCAGGTTCGTCGCACGCAATCTCTGCTTGTCTAGCTGACATCTCTCAGTGGATGTCTGCTCACACCTGAAGCTCAACCTTGACCAAGATATAACTTGCTTTTCCTTCCGGGGAAAGATTGTCCCACTCTTGACCTAACAATCAACATCGGCCACCTCGATGGTTTCCCCACTCGACTGCAAGGAATCTAGGTGGTGACACCTAGATAAACAAACTGTCCTTCACCTGCAAATATAGCCTGCTACAACCGCTGCTGCCGATACACCCTTTTACAACATCAGGGGATACGTCCCCAGCCTGACCCAGAAAGCGTTCAAGGGTTTCTGGTTCAGGCCCTTTCGTCCATCTCTCGCCTAGATTACTGCCAACTCCTCCTGGCCTGTCCACCTGCAGTGCTGCCATCCGACCTCTGCCAGCTGCCATCCAGAAATGCAGCGCTCGTTTGGTCTTCAACCTTCCTAAATTCTCCCACACCACGGCCGGCTCCTCCGCTCCCTTCATGGCTTCCGGTAACTGCTAGAATCCACTTCAAGACAAATGGTACTTGCGTACCCATGCTGCGAAATGGATCTGGCCCTTCCTACATCCAGGGAATTTGGTTAAAACCGTACACCCCAGCACGTGCCACTCCGCTTCCTGCATCAGCCCAACAGCTTCGCTGCACCCAGCAACTGCGGGGGGAT